ATCACATGACGGAAGCGAGACGAGACGCAACGTAAATGGTGGTCGTGACGAAAACTATAATCAAATATACAATGCAATATTGTTGACGAATAAAAACGGGACTAAATGTGGTTTGCAAAATAAAAACTCTGCTAAAATTTCTCTTCATTTTCGTTGACCGAGACGAGACGAAATGTTATAACGTTATTTTGTCTCGCTATTATTATTATTTTTAAAACAGGCCGCCAAAAACAACACTAGTTCCAACCAAATACTCTCCACTTCTTTCAGCTTCTGGATGAATGTTCTCTACATTGAACACCGATCCTACTCTGGAATTTCATCCTGCTTTAATATCGCTCACTTTCACTGGAACCAAATGTGCAGATTATCAAAGTTGTTGCAGATTAATTTTGGGTTGTTGTTGAAATGCCCTGATATAAATTATTACCTGTATGTGTTTCAGCTTTTCCCTCGAACAACGAGAAAAAGATGATTATTAAAGAGGAGCCGCAGGACTGGAGCCTAGACCAGGAAGACCAAGAGGATCAGAATCAGCCCCACCGGGTTAAAGAGGAACAGGAGGAAGTCAGGACCAGTCAGGAGGGAGAGCAGCTTCAAGGGTTCACATTCACTCCTGTCCCTGTGAAGAGTGAAGATGATGATGAAGAGAAACCTCAGCTTCATCAAATACAGTTTGAACAGATAAAGACAGACACTGATGGAGAGGAATGTGGAGGACCAGAACCAGCCAGGAAGGCTGACGAGGCTGAAGACTCTTCTGATCCTGAGACTGATGACAGTGATGACTGGAACGGGACCAGAGAGCCTCAGTCTGGTCTAAACTCTCCAAACAGAAGTCCCGGCGGGAGGCAGGACTCGGTCAGTACTGGTCTGGTTTGGTACAGCAGCAGTAAACCGTACAGCTGCTTCAAGTGCGGGAAAGAGTTTGTTCAGAAGAGGTCGATGCAGAGCCACATGCTGTCTCATGAAGAGAAGCCGTTAAGCTGTTCCATTTGTGAAAAACATTTCAGCTGCAGTTCGGAGCTCACGAAGCACCGGAGAACTCACTCTGGAGAGAAACCCTTCAGCTGCTCCGTCTGCGGGAACAGCTTCTTCAGGAGGGAAAGCTTGAGTCGTCACATGAGAATCCACACAGAGAACAAAGTGTTCAGCTGCTCGGTCTGCGGTAAAGAGTTTGCTCTGGAAAGATATCTGACCCAGCACACGAGAACTCACACCGCAGAGACGCCCTTTAGCTGCCCATTCTGTGGTAAATGTTTCGCATTTGAGCGATATCTGACGCAGCACGTGGCAATCCACACGGGAGAAAAACGGTACAGCTGCAGCGTTTGTAGCAAAGGGTTCACTTGGCTGTCGCAGCTCAGAATCCATCAGTGTGCCGGTGAGTCCTTGCAGGGCCATGAAACCCAGTGAGCACCGACTGGGCTCTCAACCTTGATTTCTAGTCTTTTTTCAACCAGATAAATGTCTCAGATAAGGGTGACAGATGACAAATTAGGTCTACATGAATACGTCATTTAATTAGTTTGATGTAAAACGTCATAAATATTGAACTATAGCTTGTGTGTTGCCAACAGGAAGCTCTCAGGACGTCGTAATGGGAGACTTTCTTTACATTCATGTGAAATAGGAAATTGCAGATCGGCCAACGTTTACTCATTCTGACATAAAAGTATGATTTCTCGTTCTGAACTACACAAAAAGCCACTGAGTTCAATTAGCAGCAAATATCCCGCCCAAAAGCAAAAGAAGAAAAGCGTTTGACCAATCAAAGTGCTAGATTCCCCTGCTGGGAGAATTTAAAAGGATTAACAACCATAATGTAATTTCAAGAGACTGCAAACTCTCGTGAGGACAGTCTTTAAACTCACTAGTGAAGGAGAACAACAGACTAGGCTGATGTGGAAAGTTAAATGTTGTTCGTAACCATACGTACCTAATTTGCAAGCTAGCTTGTTTACGAGCACAAGGTAGCATAAAAGTAGATTTATATGGTAAATAACTTGATGATGTGGTAAGTGGAGAAATGACTGCGTGGCGGCAGGTCTGACCAGAACAAAGTGCACTACAACCGTACATCAAGCACACCTAATGAATCCGTCTCCAGGGACTCGTTCTATCCCTTCTGTGGATTCATGATTAGAACTGGATTTTAAAGTATTATGTAATATAGTCACAGTGCTTAAACCTTATTTTATAATATACATGCTGAAACCATTTATCTTGTTTCTGAGGTTTGTAATGTTCATTCTGTAATGGTTGCTGTTTTCTGTCATTGTTATACATTTTGCTGTGAATTCTGTTTCTGTAAATAACTGAATAAAAAGGTTCCTGATTAAACTGAATCAGTCAGACTTTAATAAGTGTGGACACATTGATAGAAATAAATAAGAAATGAGCCGGGTGCTTAAAACATTTAACATCATAACACATTCTGTTAGAGCTTCTTAAGTTACACACATTTATTTCATAATTTATATTTTATTCAATATTCAGTGTATATTTTTAATAGTGGAGTAAGCTGATGTGTTTCTAGTTGCTAATGTTCTGTTTTTATATTGTAAGGTTTGTTTCCAACCTTTTCGATCAGTCAGTAAACAGACTGTATGTTCCAATGATCAATAACACAATGAACCCAACAGTGAACTGTCTGTGTTTTTATCATTTTAACAATCAGACTTAATATTCTTCTTTCTGACAGATTCTGTGTTTATTCTTATTGACTTCTTTTCACATTAGTCTGTCAGCAGCTGATCAACTGTTAGGATGGAAAATCTATGCGTCAACACCCAAAGCTGACGCCTCATTAAAGCTACACTAATACATGATTTCATGATAATAAACATCTTATTTAATCAAAAGTATTCCACCTTTATTCATTAAATACTTTTCTCATAATCACTTTTTTTTGGGGGGGGGGGGGGAAAAAGAACGCCGCTCGTTGAGTAAGCGCCGGTCGACCCTAACGCTGTTACTCCAAACAGCTGGTTTGCAACACGACATAGGTGATCGACGGTACTCAACATGGCGGCAGACAAGTTAGAATGTGAGTGACGTCAGGGGTGATATGTCATTGAATATGTCATAAAATCAGAATAAAAAAAGTACATTGGCACGCGCTTCGGGTAGAACCTGCGCCCAGGTACTAAGGCTGAAGTCAGCGCCTCGTTTGATTCCAGACCTGTGGACCTTTAATGAGTTCACCTCTCTTCCGCCCTTTCCTTTCGTATCAATCTCGTCACAGGCAAAAAACAAGCATAAAAGACGAACAGTGAGCTCTGCACTTGTATATATATCAGGCAGCATTGAGCAGTACTCGATTGCAGATCTGCTGTTAACATAGATCAGCTGCACACTTCCTGTCCCCGAGGTGAAGCAGCTTCTGTCTCCATCATGAGGTGTTAAGATGATCAAGTTCCGTGGCCTTTCTGGTCGCTCCCGCGAGCCTCGCTCCTCAGTGTGTTGTTTCTATATGGTCAGTTGAACTCGGTCAGGCTTGGTTGTGTTGAGCTGGAGGTTTTCACGGTGATCTCACGTCGTGTGTTTTCTAATCTGTGAAGCGTCGGAGGAGAATCGTTTGGTCACAACGGCTTGCAGACTGACAGTATTTCCTCCATGTCGTGCGTTCTTCTTGTGAACCTGGGCACAGATCGCTCTTCTGAAGTAAAGGCGTTTAGCCCTAAAAACTGAGCAAGCTGAACGGTTTCTCTCCTGTGTGGAATCCTCACGTGTCTCTTGAGAAGTGACTCAGGTTAGCCAATCTCGTACCGCACTCAGGCAGCTCAGCTGGTTCCAGTATGTGTGATAAACTCGCTTCGTGACGGACTGAGGATCTCTGTTCTTTCCAACCTCTGTCGTCAGTCTCAGGTCAGAAGTTCTTCAGTCATGATATCAGGGTAGTGTTGTGTAAGATGTGCTATGCTGGATGTGAGTTCGTTGTTCTGTCCGCTCAAATGCGCTGTGCAGTGTGCTTGTTCTGTGTCGATGAAAGCTGTGAGGACCTGGCAATGCCAACTTGGTGTTTTGTGTTGTACATAACCTTCTGTCAACAGTGCACCGTAGTCTTTGGCGGCCGGTAGGGATTGTTCCGACTTTGTCCCTTTGCAAAAAAAGTGTTTACCGCAACAACTAAGCAAGTGGAATTTTCTTCCTGTGTAGTGCTAGCGCTGGACTTAGAGTTTGCTTGTTGCAATTGTTTCCGCAAACCTGAGACGAAGTGTGCAAAAGGCACGTGTTCAGTCCTGCATTACACGGGCATCACGGCTACAGACTCTAAAGCGGTTTGAAGCTGACTGAAAGGTTCTCTGGTCCTGCTGTTCCAGTGGTCACTGTCACAGTGTCAGGGTCAGAAGAGTTTTGGATGAACGTCTGGTGATGAATGTGTAAGGAGTCTGAAGGTCCGGCTGGTCTGGTCCTCCACGTTCCCCTCTTCATTGTCTTTGCGCGAGTCTGTTAAAGTGATAGTTTTGAAACTGGATTCCTTCATCATCCATCCACGTTTCACCCTTGCACAGGGACGAGGGTTGAATGGTGGAACCCTTGAGCTGCTCTCTCCCCTGGACTGGTCCTTACGCTTCCTTCCTGTTCCTCTGTAATGTGTGGGGGCTCTGGGTCCTCCTCGGTCCAGACTGGGGTCGCATCATGATGCTCTTCTTTAATATAAGCTCTGGTTTTATGTCATCTCGATGTGTAAGAGCGCTGGAAACACACCAGGGATTACAGATATTGACTGTCGTATGTGGACTTTAACCCAACCGCACCTGATTGGTGGTGAAGGCCACACCAAGAAGCAACTAACGATGTGAGGCATTGCAGGTTGTCGGTCGTTGAAGGCAATTGTTTTGAGGCGGTGTTCC